TTACTTAGCATTTCAGAATTTCAAGTCTACGTACCTATAAATTGGGGATAATCTGCAAGGGTTGTTTCTAAATGTGAGAACAAGCACTAAAAAAGATTTGTAACCTGCTTATCACACCCCACTTTCTTCCACTTTATTCTTTGTTCCTAATAAAATTTTGCTTCTATGTTCCTTTCATCTGACTTAATCTCCCCTACCAAGTTCAAAGTCTGCATGCTTCAAAATACTCTCATACTTGATCACATATTGCCTGGGATTCTAGTTATTTCTTTTACAGATTTATTTATTTATGCATATAAGAACTGGCCAGAGGTATGGGAGTGAGAGGATTCACCAGAGCCAGAGTGGGGAACAGAATAGGTGGACGGACTGAAATACACTGCTGAGGGGAGCAGCAGGCAAGACGGATGTCTGCTGTGCCATGTGGGTCAGCTCCCTGGCTGGGGATGAAACCCATGCTGCAGGGGCTGGCTATAGCTTGACAGCACTGTGACTTAACACCTGAGAACCAGGGAACCCCGCAGTGTAGCCATTAAGAGCTCTTTCATCAACTCTTGTAGATTGTAAACATCCCAAGAACACTCATCTTTCTATCCTTTTAACATCTACCAAAAGATCTTGCAAATAGTTAATGCTCCATAAATATTTACTGAATAATTCTTCATGATTGTTACTCCAAAGTGAGCAACATATTTTCTAAACTTTTAAATTTAAATGTATTAATCATTAATGTCTCAAAAATAAAGTGGTATGTCTCTACTAATTAGTCCTCAGTTTTCAAGGGCCACATTTTAAATATCAAGCCACACACCCTTGAAGATGCCTATCACTGCTAGGTCCGAACCAGTACAATGTTTTGACATAGCTCAAGTCAATAATATGAAATTGGATAGAACTTATCTCAAGCTTCACACTAATGAAGGAAGGAAGATGAAATCACTTGGGAAAGAGCTGCCAAACGTCGGATGTTTTTACTGTCTCTGACTTACTGGGATGCAGGTGTGTCTGTTTTATCTTGTTACTTACGTTTTCAACTGAGGAGTATAGTTTGCCTGTGGCCAGTTCATCATCTGAACCTTTTTCAAAACTTAATTGAGAGGTCATTATTTGCTTTGCTTCCTCTTCCGGCACCTCTCCACAGCATAGCAGTTACCACAGTGATGCATCTCTTTGCTGGTAATACATACATTATATTCAGAACCACAGATCATGGCTGTTAGATCTGCCAGATGTTTCAGGCCCCTAGCTGCAATTAAGTTCCAACATAGTCCAATTTGAAAGGGATCTAGAAACCACAGTTCTAATTAAGAATATTCATGAGTTTGCACCTTGGAAAGTCAAAAATCACATAATGTGCCAGAGTGGACAAGATCTGTTTCATTAAGAAGGGGAAGGAGAGAATACAATTTTAAATAAGTTACCAAGTTAAGCACTTGGAAAAGATCTGAAATGAAACAGAAAGTATGTGGTTGAATGAATGATTTGAGCTCTCAGTCAACCTATTTTAGTAAGAATTTAAAGGGCTCTATCAGGGACTCCTCAAGCTGGCTGCAGATTATCACCTAAAAAGCTTAAAAAGGAAAACTCACCTAAGGCAGGGTGCACCCTCAGGCTAGTCTAGATCAAGAAAAAGAAGCACTATTGTTGTTGGCAATCTCATCTCTACACATAAGGAGTCACTGCTTGACAGTTGCTATGGTAACCACTAGTGTGTTCTTCTTAGACATTAAAAATGAGCACGCAGAGCATCTTTTGCTGAACTAGAAACAGGTGCCTATGTAGCATGTTTGAAGTAGGGTTGGACAGTCAAATTAAGGACATAGAGGTTTCCTTCTAAGCCAGAGGTGCCTCGTGGCTTCCTCAAAGGACATGGGAAATGATTTTCATTATGAAACTCACCTGCAAAGACATTATTGCAACTTTACAAACCATTTTCTGTTGCACTCCTGTGTGTCCTGGAGTTAGAACTCTTCATATGGAATGCGAGATTGTAAGTTAAGAGATGAGGGTTCTGTTTCTGTCAAGTACTAGTTGTGAGACTTAGGCAGACCGCCAGACTTTTCTTAGAACGATTTTCTTATCTGTTGTAATAAAGAAAAGGATTCAAGAGATAATTTTAGACATGGAAGGACTGAAAGGGACATTACGATGCATTTCACCCTCTAGGGGACATGTATTGTTTTAGGGTTTCCAAACTCCCTTTTCCTTCACCTCTGTAGCTGACTCTTGGCTTTCCTTCTGGATATCAATTTTCCCTCACTCCCAAGCTTTATACTGACTCCACCTCGGCTTCAGAGAAGAGCATTTCACCTCGAGCTGGCCAATTAAATGTGACATCATTGCATCCTCTATTCTCCACTGCAATCAAATTCAATGTAGCTCAATTCTGTGACTTTTCCTAGAGTTATGGTAAAGAAAAAATTCTTTTCTGCTGGACTTGAAGCTTTTAAGATGTAAACCTTAAGGTGGAGGAGCAATCTTGTCATTACAGAGGGAGAATGAAGGATGAAGTCAACACAATAAAAATCAGCACAATAATATCCTTGTAACATAATTGTAATCTCCCAGGTCCAGCTGTGGCTGATTTTTTTTTTTAAGTAAGAAATTTGGGCTGGATCTCTTTCACTTGCATCCAAAAGGGTTTTGATTAATACAAACCCTTCATTTTGTAGGCTATGATACCAAAGATGATGACTTGTCCAACCCTAGATAATGCCAGAGACAGGGTGAGGGCTGGCTTCCGAGCTTCTCAATTTAAATCATTTTTAGATACATCTACCCTTTGAATTTTATAAAAATAAAGGTATTTACAACTTTGAAATTTTTGTTTAACTTACTCTTCCCTCCATTCCAGTAGCATCAGTCTTCTTTTAATTCTTGATAGGTTTATTTTCTTACATCCTTTCCTGTCTTTTATTTTGGGACTAGTGTGCTTATCTACCTTAATGGGAAATAACACAGAAACAAAAACAAAATATTAACTCAAGTCAATGTTTTGGTATAGGGCAGATCAAATAAACAATAAGTTGTATGAGTTTTGTATTTTTTTTTTTCAGTAGAATTTTCAATATTTTATAGCATACAACCTCAATTTCTAATCAGAGGCAGAAGAGAAAGATATCTTAAAGAACGTGAAATTAGGGTGTAATATTTAGCCAACAGTCAAGCTTCACTGCCTGTCTTTCTCAATTTGTAACTAGCAGAGTCAAATAGTGAAATGTTTTACTGACTTTGTCAATCCAGCTTAAGTTTCCTAATCCAGCCACAATGTATGCATGTAACTCATGCCATCTCTCTGTTACAGCTCTTATATTGAATATTTGCATAGCTGTCCCCCCATTGGACCTGAGCCCATTTATTTCAGGGACCATGTTTAATCATCCCTAAGTCTCATGAAAATCATCATGTATTCCATACACATATGGAGTAGTGGTTAAAGCCTATGATTGTTTCCAGTTTATTACTTAGAGCATTAAGCCAACACTGTACCTTTGTTTCTCTATGGTCAACTGCTATTTGTATGTGTGAGAATATTTTCTAATATATGTATTAAATTTCAGGTCTTGAAAGTTTCCACAAAGACCATTTTTAATCAAGTAGAAACTCTTGGGATTTAGACTTTGAAATGTCACATCTAATTGTTACGTTTTCATGTTCATGTCTTCAATAATCAACAGAATTCAATAATCAATTCTGGACTGGCACTCAAAAGCTGTGTGAGCTGTGAGAATCTACATTCTAAAGACTTCTCAAGTCTTATTTGCTATCCTTCCCATTTGTCTCACATCATCTGGGGCATAGAAAGTGTGAAACTTGCTTGTTTTATATACCTTGAAGTATTGAAAGTAATCAGAGAGAGTCCAGGATAAGGAGTATTATGGGGTTTCATGTTCTGATGTCTCTGTGTAAGATTGTAAAGTTACACCCCATTCAGAATAGTGAAGTGAGGAATGCTGCTACCTATAGATCATGGATGTTATTAAATTTATCAGTGCATTGCTACTTATTTTTTTTAGCTAGGAAAGTAGAAAATGAATCTGAGAAATGTTAATTTTAAAAATAAGAGAATCTACCCAGTTTTTACAAGAGATTTCAATTTTATTTTTCCACTTCAAAGTGGAATAAACTTTAAAAATCCAACATTTAAAGACCTAAGCACAATCACAGAATAATTCTATTAAGGTTTTCTGTTCTCTTCAAGTCTCTGGTCTACTCTGAAAGTTTCTGAAACAATAGAGCCTATTGTTTTATTGGTCCCCAGAGGACACTGTCATTTGATGTCCCTCAGAACTGCCCGCCTCGGTAAACACACCTCCACTCGCTGCTCACTTCCATTTTCTGCTACCTCCCACCCACCCAAGGAGGTTGGGGAGGCACATACCTGCTGTAAGAACCTAGGTGGATGGGTTCCTTTGCTAGTTCTGGATTGATACCACTGCTTGGCTTGCCCAGCTGGCTTTTACTTCCTACCTCTTTCTAGAGTTCACCAGTCACACAACTGCATTGGCTCTCCTTGGTCCTATCTACAGTACCTACAACTCAGATGTTTAACAACCATCCCATCTGGGTGTCATCAAAATAACAGGAACAATTCTTCAAGTAGAGTGACATTAAGAAGACAGAGTTTGTGTGTACAGATCCATTTTATTTCTTAGATTCTTAGAAATCACAAAATATGCAGCATGGTAGGCCCTGTACTTTTTCTTTGCCAAAGAGAAGATTCAAACTAAAGGCCAGCTACTGAATGGATCACTCAGTCAAAGGGGAGCTGTGGCACATTAAATTCAATAAACCACTCAAGCTTCTGATTGAATATATTACAGCAACACTATAGGCTGCAATTTAAAAGATTAGTGAGGAAGAAACAATATGCTACTGTATTGGCTTTTCTGCTGTCAGTCTCAGCTTCAGGCACAAGATGATGCTACCTGATAGTTGCCATGGTAACCATGCAAGTGTTCAGCTAGAGCATTTTCAGATGGAAAAACAGAACAACATACATGAGTTCACTGTTCAAAGAGAAAGAGGACGGGCAGCAGATTGGAGAGTGGGAGACTGCCAGTGCAAACCCTGCAGTGTCAGCTTTGTGAGTTTTCTGGTTCTTCTGAGGCTAATTGCGGCTGCAAAGACAAACCTGTTGTGGGTGTCCAGAATGGGTGTTTTCTAGGGAAACTTGCAGGGAAAAATGGGAAGAGCTGCATCTGTAATGTTGTGGAGGTTAGAGAGCACTCTGTTCTGCAGAGCCTGGGCTTGCGTCTTCCCCAAACTGTAGTGCTCCTGTATCTTGCCGAAATGCCAGATTTTATGATCTCCATGGGCTCCACATCCACTCAGCTTCACTGGTTCAGCCCTGTCTCCACCTCCAAGCCCCGCACAGTGTTTCATTGTTGGGTGGACGTTTTAAAGGACTGAGGGAATTCAGGACCTTCTGGTGGCGCAGCAGGTTGAAGCACAGCACTAAGAAGCTTAAACCACTTCCGAATGAGTTTGATCCCCGCCTGCCTCGGAGGTGACCCACATGGCACAGCAGACCTCTCCTGACTTGCCCGCTGCTCCCCTCAGCAGTGTACTTCATTGATCTGCCTGTTCTGCTCCCCATTCTGTCTCTGGTGGGTTCTCTCACCCTCCACACCTCTGGAATGTACCCCAGTTCTGTATTAATAAGTAAATAAATCTTTAAAAAAAAAAAAAGACTGAGAGATTCATTCCATGTTGTCATGATCCTCCGGCCTATTTAAACATCACTCCACAAAATGAGCTTCCTGTTCACTTCTGCCTGTCACTGTCTCATCCCCATAAGCACTTTGCCACCTGTGCTTTGCATTTGTAGGACTGTTGTTTTATTTTCTGAGAGGTATCAGCTTCCTGGGCCGAGGTTGCTCACTACCCACAAGGGCCGGATCTAATCATTGGTTGGATCTCATAATATTGAAACAGCTAAACCAACGTTCAGTCAGGGATTTCTAATAGCATTCCCTATCCTATCCCACATTCTTGGAGGATGGTAATTGGCCAGAGCTGAGGAGCATCCACTCTCTTTAAATCAAGGTCATACACCTTCACCTTCTGTGGTGATGGCACCACCGCAGCCCCTTCGCTGCCTGGCTCCTGTAACACCCGGAAGGACGAACGCATTCCTGTCTTTGAGGATGGGGACAACATTGTATTGTTGTTCCCTTTTTGACCCTCATGTATTTGTTTCTCCTAGAGCCTCATTCCTTCACTGTATGTTCACTACACAGATGTGGTGATCAATATCAACGGAAATATCATCAAATGGATGAATACTTGCTGCTTCCTCAGACTTTCCTCCTCAAATAAAGTGAATGTGAATTGCCTGTATGTTTATGCACACAAGCTGATAACAAGACACCCTGGCAATGGGAAGGAGCTTCTGGTGGTGACACTTTCACTAGGAGCAGGGCCTCAGGCTGGGTAACTGCCTTTAAGTGGATTGATTCAAAGACAGGGCAAACCTGGGGGTTTATTAGGTGCGCTAGTGAATCACTGTCTGGTCCTCCGTCCGTCCTTCCATCCACTTGCCATTTCATCAGTGTTTGCTGGGTCCGTTTCACAACCTCATTATGAAGAGTGAACAAAGTCCAAGTTCTGGTCCCATGGTACTTGTAGAATCTAGTGATTTTTTTTAATCCAAAAATCTGAAGCAGCTGCTAAATAGACTCCATGACCAACAGAAGGAGACAAAAGTGCACAAAGAAAAGGCCAAAAAGAAGAAGGTGGAGATGAAGAGAAGAAATGTAAATGGTCAAACTATAGATGAAAACTGTTTAAATTCTCAATACAAAAAGAAATAAAATAATAATGACCATATTTTACAATTACTCAACATGGCAAAGCCCATTTTTAAAGAATCATAATGCCATTTGGGAAGAGTGCATGATGTAATGGGCATGCTACTTTCTTTTTTTGGGAAAGGGACTTGGCACAGTCTTTTAAGGGAGCAACTTAGCAAGAAATGTGAAAAATTCAGAAATATTTTTTGATTAGGAACACAATTTCTAAGACATTCTTAGGAAATAATTAAGGTTGTGTGCAATAATCTAGCTAAAAAGATTTGTATGGTTAATAACACAAAATTCTTAACTAACTAAAAAATTCTTAAAACAACTAATGTGTATTGAACACTTTCTTAAAGATTTATTTATGTATGCATTTAAGAACAGGGGGACAGGCCAGAGGTTCAGGGTTGAGAGGACTCACCAGAGACAGTGGGGCACAGAGCAGGCAGATCTCGTGAAATACACTGCTGAGGAGAGCAGCTGAGATAGGAGAGGTCTGCTGCGCCATGTGCGTCACCCCCTGGCTGGGGATCAAACTCATATTGCAGTGGCCACAGGTCACTTCAGAGCACTGCACTTTACCAGGGAGGGACTATACTGAACATTTTATACCTCTCTTACAGCATCTAATAATTCCTGCTCAAGAGCCCTGAGATGGAGGGCATGGGCTGGAAAGATTAGAAACGTGTCCATTTTGATATAGCCCTCAGGAAACACAGTTGGAAGGGGTGGACGTGAGCTTAATGAGTTATGTTTCTCCTCCCTCTGGTAGTGAAAATGTCATAGCCTCCCTTTAGACAACTGACTTAATAAATTATGTCATGCCGTGGAAAGCTAGTCAGCCACAGAAATAAGGGAGATGAATATATATCCTCTTAGAAAGATATTTAAATATTCTTCTAAGTTGGTGGCTATCAAGAGGTGTTTGTGTGTGGTGTCACACAAATAAGAATCAATTTATAAGCACACAAAAGTACAGGAGGGTCCAGAGGTGTGGGTACCAGATCTAATCAGTGCCTCTCTCTGGGTGCTAAGAATATGCTTTCATTTCCCCCCTCCATCTGTTTATTTCATCTTCTTACTGTTTGTTTCATTTTCATGTTCTTAAATGTTTTTAAAAGTCAACCCATAGTTTTCTACAAAAACCTTATATTTACTATTTTAACAGGCTGTGGCATTATTGACTTAAATTCGTCTTCCAAGTCATCATACGACACTCTGACTCTTGCTTCCCCGAACTAACATTGCTTCCCCTGGGGTGTAATAAAAATCATCCTGGATTGAGAGCCAGCAGACCTGGGTTTCAGGCTGAGCTCATCTGTTCATATGTCCGGGATGTATCCCGAGGCAAGTCATCAGCTCTTCTGGACTCGGCACGATGATGGCTGGGTGAGCTGAACTCTGAAACCGCTTCTAGCTCTAACACACCAGGAGCTCTTATGCATTCATTTTCTCCTTTGGAGACAGCCTGGAACCATTTTCCAGTCTACAGGACAAAGATTTGAGAATCGAAATCATTTTGGTCTATAAAACAGCGTGGATAAACACCTGCCTAACCCACTTTAAGAAATAATAGCATGACACTTATAAACCACTTTGCACATTGCTTATGAATGTCCTCCCCAGAGGCTCTGAGTTTGACTATAGTTATTCCAGTTATTTACATACCGGCATTTGGGTAAAGGATTTGCGACTGTGAGGGGAATAAATGCTTTCTCCCGAGATTACTGTGGAGTCAGTGTTTCCTAATACATGTTGCAAAAATGTATTAAGACCCATTTCTCTGACACAGAAAATGACCCCCCACCCCTAAAATAAAGTATGACTTAATTTTACCCCCATTTCCTTTCCAGAGGTCTCTGTGGGCAATTGTCTTCCCTCAAAGCAGCTGAGCTGGGCTGGAATTGCATATCACAGCGGCAGCTTTGCCAAATAAAGCCAGCTGAGAGCAACAGAAGCCACTCTTAGGAGGGTTTTTCTCTGGGAATGAATAATTTGATATACCTTGCTACCTGCAAAATAATTCTAAGACTGTCGAGGTCAGGTTCCACCTTTGGGGATGTTCATCTCTCAGTATGTCTCCTCCCAGATTTCCTATCCTGGTATGTTAGTTACAGTTGATGAATGAGTAGATAAAATGATGAGCTTTCCAATGCATTCATGGTGTTGTTTAGTTTCTTCTAGAATTTGTAAGTTTCTGGGTGGTCTTTTCCATACCATTTGGAAAGACAAGAACATGTGATAACCTATTTGATTTTTAGTTTGGTATTTGTGCTAAGGAATGTTGGTGCCATGCACATCATTCACCAAAGGCAAGTGCAGACCATGGCCAAAACAAGAAGAAGCAGACTTTGGGCATACTAAGTATCACAGCTAAGAGGAGTCCCACATGCCAATGCTACAAAGGGAGCTTCATTCCCAAACATACAGGGCTGTGGGTGTTTAAGAGTTCTGACTGCAACATCAGATGAAGCTGAACTTACTTTTCACTCTTCCTCTTGTTACTTGGAGGTTGGGGGAAATCACTTAATCAGAACCCCAAAAATCTAATCTGTAAAATATAGAAACTGAGATTCCTTTCGTTAGGGTCAATATGTAGACTAAATAAGATTTGTCTGCCAAGTTACTAGTCAGGGAAACCTGACCCATCGTCAACACTCAATAAGTAGACAGTTAACATAATTTTTAATCTGGCATGGTGTTTACTCCCTTCCAGTCATTTCCCAGATGTAGTACAGGAGAATGTGAAGTGTGATAATAGAAGAAGAGCTGAGAGGAACAGATTAGAACACACATAATTATCACTGTTTACATGGCACACCTTCCCTGTAGTTCGCAACTGCAGAACATTGGTTAGAATAAATTATGGCATAAATAAATACACCATCCACAGATGCTTTTAGAGGGCAACCTGAAAATGATTAAGAGATAATGTTATGCTGCATAGTTAGGGATTCTTCTCTTTTATGTTTTGACTCTTTGGCTTGGTTTGGTTTTAGCATTTTTTATTTTTTATTTTTTTGGCTTTGATGTCCTACCTGGAAAATTCTTATCAGTTGATTAAGCTCTTAGTTAATTTGCCCTGCTGTTTAGCTCAGTTGTTTATATATTTCTCTGTACTACTTGATTGTGCTACTGAAGTCATGTGATCCATATATGTATCTACTAGTTCATCCTAGAGCCTTACTATGTTATAGACCCCATGTAGACACTCAGTACAAATGCATTTCCTCGTTTGAAGGAGAAAAATGTACCAACTTCAATTGCAAATTTTTCCTCTTCTCCATTCTTCAAAGAGATTAAGTGCTGGACTTTTCTTCATTGAGTAGTTTTAAAGTATAATGAAATATTATAGAAAATATTCCTGGTACAATGATGACAATGATGAAGGAAGTCAATTTTAGCAAGGGAGACACATAGGAAGAAAGATTGTTACAAAGGGCTCTGGTCAAGTCACACTTATTTCTGTTTCTAATTATCTGCTCCCCACCTCTACAACTATCACAGTGTAAACATTTTGCCCACTGAACTTAATTGGGTTTTTCTAGATTCATGGAGAAGTCGAGAAGGTGACTCCTCTTTGGCAGGGCAGATTAGATCAGAAGCCATGGTACAAGAGGAAAAAAATTCATCAGAATAACTTTTAAGAACTAACTTCTGAAAAATGAAATGGAAGTGAATTTAAAGTTAAATAGCCTGGAGCACGGATTCTGGATTTGCCACTTAACAGTTGTGTGAACTTGGATGAGTGACACAAATTCTTTGATTTTAAATTTATGTGCCTCTAAAAATGCCATAGTAAGACACAGAATACAAAATCAGTTGGCAAAGTTTGTGGCATTTATAACACTCTCATTAAATTTTAATTTATCTCCATTCTTACCAGAAGACAGGCCAGAATATTTCGAACAATTCCTGCATTGCACCCTCCACCTGACTGATTAACACAGAGGGTCTACTTCAGATGGTATCATTTAGAAATTTAGATATTTAAAGCTTGGTTAAATAATATATTACTCTGTCATACTTTATTGTGAACACTCCTTAAAGATTGTTGCTTGTATCAGAAGGGATTTTGTTGCAGTGTAATTTCAAACCCCAATGACAATTTTGAAAGTTGCTTTCAGCAAAATATACCATCTGATTATCTAAGAATGGCATAGCTTTTATCCAAGTATGATAAATAGTGGGCTTAAGCCTAAAACAGAGAGTTATCTAAAGCCACAGAAAGTTTAAAATTTATATCAACAATTACTTCTCTGTCCCTTGTCAGATCTGTTGGAGATACAGCAGATAAGGAAGGAAAGCAGTGAAGTGATGATACAGCATCCTCCAGGAATGTTAGTGCTGAGGTGAAGCCAAGCACGCTTTGAAGGTGAGAAGGGCAAAGAGGGAAATGCATGTTACAGAAATGGCTAAGCCAGCCTTTCTCAAAATCATATGAAAAAAAGTCTTGAGAATATAAACTTGACTACTTTGCAGTGAGTCAACTGGATAGCGCTACTGCTATACACACTTTGAAAATATTTATTCTGTGTTTAAAATGGAAAATCGAAGTCTGACAAAGTCATTTGGACTAACCCAGAGTCTCATGTAAAGCAACTGATTCAGAGCTATTAACGCAGCAGATTTCTC